ACTAAAACCCCCCCCCCCAATGTATTTCATTATCTCAGAAGCATGCATGTTTTAAAGCAATATAAATACTCTGTGGGCAGTTGTGAAATGTTTAACATAGGTAAGACTCTACAAAGGAGCAAAGGATACTTTATTTGTTCATATGTCCTAGGCAACAAGTTTTTTAACATAACCTGTGGTCATAGAAATAAGTAACCTAACTGGACTGTCATGCAGATTGAGTCGAGCAGCAGAACTTGATAAGTATTGATCTCATTTTAGGGAGAGGGTGGAGTATGTTCCTGTCCTCCTGGACCATGGATGGTAAGTACGTCCTTCTGCTGGAAATGGATGCGACTAATAATTAACTGGCTCATTGAACCTTTTTTGATCTCCAGGATTCATCGGATGGTGATTTCTGGCGATATGGAATTCAGGTCAGTTTTGGGTTTCCTGTTTCTTAATATCTCTCTGTCAACAGTTTACATCTGATTTACCTCTCTCTTTTGTCCTCCTTTCATGAAATCAAAAGAAATAATTTACATGGCCCAAAGGCTACCTGGTAAAAATGAATGCCATGCATTTTAGAAAATGTATACAAATGCCAGCCGTATAACTGTATAAAATATATGTATTACTAATTGTATAAAATTAACTTACATAAAGATGTCTCTGATAAGCATGTATATTTTCTGATTATTGCAATACCTTTTATTAGAATGTACAAACTGGCAAAAACATTGTTTTCCTCTGTGCACAATGACTTGAAGGAAACCAGGAATAACAAGTAAAGTAAGGATGAAGCTGGACATCAGCCCCCAAAAAACCTGGCCCTTCAAAAAATTGAGTATGGGGTAACCCCCCCTCCCCCCCACCCCACTTACTTCCCAAAGCGTAGAGCTCAGTGACTGAATAACTCATTGGGGTTGATTTACTAAAGGCAAATAGGCTTTTCACTTTCCAAAGGAACTTGCACATTGTAAGGGAATTTTCACTCGGCATATTGAATGAGGTGAAGCTCTGCTGACGCCCATCATCCAATGATCCGTACCACTCTGATGAGGAGTGGATCTGTGCACGGATCCCTTCCTGATCAGCCCTCCTGACATAGCTTTAAATGCCCAAATGTCTCATGGGGGTTGATTTACTAGAGGCAAACATGCTGTTCACTTGGCAAATAAATGTTATCTTAGCTCAGTGAATAGGATGATGCTCTGCTGACTCCCATCATCCAATCCTCCAACCATGTGCATTTTCCTTTCATTTAATTGGGTATTCTGAAGTGAGTTTTCACCACATTCATACAGATAAGGGGAAATTCCTTTGCTAAGTAAAAATGATCGTGCAAAACGATCAGCCTATTTGCCTTACGTAAATCATCCCCAATGTTTCATCTTTATGCCATAATTCTAAAAAATTTATCCTGGTTGCATTTTCATTCAGGCCTGATCCATACCTATGCATTACCAAACCATGCGTTAATTCAAGGCCGTTTGTGCAGCTCGTTCCAGAGCCATTTATTTAGAATGTTACCTCAACGCCCAAATACAATAGTGGGCCATGCTTTTGCGCTGCAGTGTACCACAACACATTTGTCGTACATTGTGGTGCACTATGTTAGAAAAAAGGATCCAATATGTATTTTTCGCTGTTGAGGTGCATTGGCAGCCCATTCCAAATTAATGTTTTGCTCTAATGAAATGTATGTTAATTCATAAGATACTGCATGTTTTGTACATGCAGTTATGGACCAGAACATGTAAGGAGGCCTTTTAAGTAAGTAATGATTGTTTTTATAAGAGCTGTAGGATTAGTATTCTGTCACCAGATAAAATAACAGTATGATAAAGATGTTGTTCTCCGAGTATCACATTTTAAGTAAATAATTGCGTAATTCTTATCTTTAAAAAAAATTCTGCAGACTATATGCTCATTTGGGCAGGGTCCTCCTCACCTACTGTTTCTGTATGTCAATGATGCTTGTCAGTGTTTCTTACTTGTCTTGTCTAAACAATTGTACAGCGCTGCAGAATATGTTGGTGCTATATAAATAAGGAATTGTAATTGCAGGTGACCACACAACAAAGTTGCCTTCCCAGGTAATCACTTCTAACTTACTTTTGTTTGATGATGCCTCTGTTTCAGGGACTCCCCGGACCACCTGGACCTCCTGGTCCTCCCGGACTTCCCGGTCATCAGGTGAGCCGTATTCTTAATTCTCTTTATATTCTTTTTAGAACAATCTTCTTCACTTTCAGAGTAAAAATTTTCAAGTATAATAAACCTTTTACTAGCATCATTTCCCCAGCCAGCATGATATACACAATGAACACAGAGGAGAAATGAATAGGCAGAAGCTATTCTAATGATGCATGTTCTAACATACTGAGCTACAGGTGAGTCTTAGAACATTATTATAGTTAGGTCAAATATTTGCAGTATCGTGAGCTTGAGTTTTTTTGTATGACAAGCATATTTTAAGGCAAAGCTTTCATAACAAAATACTACATAAAATGCAATTTACATGCAAGCTCAGGCACCATAACTTAACAGTAACATCAGGCTTTTTATTCTGCATATTCACTATGCCTCCAGAGTGCCACAAACTCTCAGTGCAAATACTGACCTTTTGAAAGTGGAACATTTGGCATGACACCCCTGTGTCCACCAGACCAGTGCCAGTAGAGCAGGAACCTACTGAGGACCATTGGAACTGATTGTTATTGGTGAGCATCAAATTTTAGAAAGCGGGTATTTGGATTTAGGATTTGGAGGGTATGGGGCACTTTGAAGGTACTTTACTAAAAACAGAAGGTACATACTGATAAGTTATGGTGTTTGCACTTGTGTGTAAATGTTGTTTTTTTATTTAAGGCAGTTCAGTTTTCATCAACTATTTTTCATGTAGGATGGAAACGGTAAAAATGAATGTATAACTTACACATTTTGCCAAAATGGAAAATTGGATATGCAAGAAACAAGTGTTTGTACTTCTTGAACATCAGTTTAAATTCAAGTGACTGAAAGCAACAGTCTCTTCCCTTTTATATATAGATTTGCTCTTGCATGTAGATAGTAAGGTAGTGACTTGTGAATTCTAATTCAGTATCGTGTTTCAGAGCAATTGTAGTTTGAATTTTGCAACAATGCACAATGCCATACACATTTGCTCAGAACCTATTGGTCAACTATGATATGGTCTATTGCTGTTCTTAGGAACATAACTGAAATCCATCAAACTTGGCTATGCAGTCTAGTTTAGTTCTGTTAAGAATGTATTCTAGTTTATGAGCATATGAACAGCCTGTGTCATCATTAAAGTGGTCAATGGACAGCAGCAGAATATCATAACATAGCTGGAGGCATAAGATTGGGTAATGTTATACTGTGCTGCTCCAGTCTATGACAATTGAGCTCTGAAACAGTTGCAGGCATCAAGAAGGGAAATTATGTTCAGTGAATAAGAGTGAATAAGATTGTTCTGATTAGATAAATACACAACAATGGTAGTCAGCTATCACCTAGGGACTGAGTAACCTTCATCTCTGTGCTGTGTGTCCTGTTAGCACTATGTTCTTGGTATTGATAGTGTAATAAGTGGGTGCAAGAAACACACAGTGCGGATGATAGAGACTCTAGCATATGCTTTAGCCCCAGATTTTTTCCTTGACTGTAGGGTTTGCCTGGACACAATGGTATACCAGGACGACCTGGAGTGCCAGGAGAACTGGTAGGTACAGAGTGCTGGTGTGCTTCTGCTATGTGTCAGTGCCAGGCTCTTTACATGTAACCCTAATCCTTGTCACACAGAGGAAGTAGGGCAGCTGTGACATGTGCACATCTTCCCACCCTTTTTCTGGTGTCTCCATGTTGTCACTTCGCTTTGCAGGTTACCTGTGCAGTTCTGTGTGTCCAATGTTGCCTACATCTTTCTTATTGTTCTCTAACACCCACATTTTCTTTTTTTCAGGGACCCCTGGCTGCAGAAGGAAACATTGATATCCTGAAGGTGAGGAAGTCATAGGGAATGACAAAAAGGATTGTGGGACTGCATCAAAGGTTTAATTTATTTTAGTGGCCTATATTTGAAGGTTATGTGTCTAGTGGGAAATCCTTGGAACAATGGACCAGCCACTTTGTTGGGGGTGAACTAGTTTATCTGATATCCCCCTGCTTCATACAGAGTATTTGTGGGGACTGTGCCAATGTGCAGAACATTCCCAGCGCCATGAAAGGAGAGAAGGGAGAGCAAGGACAGCCTGGCATTCCCGGAGAAGAGGACTGTGAGAGGGTATGAAAATACAAATGTGTGAAAATCATGAGTGCCATTTTGAATTTAAATGTGTTACTGTGTTCTTCTGTAGGTAATGTTTGGCTCTATTAGGAAATCTAAATGACTTTGCTGTCAGCTGTTGTGACAATGTCAGGGTTATTCACAAAAGGGTGAAGAGTTTGGAGAAGGCAGGAGAAGTGAACAATCTAGGACAACAGAGCTGAACAGGAAAGTGAGCTGAATTGGAGAATTTTTCCAAATTAGATATTTTGGGCGAGAATGTTCACTTCTCCTGCCTTCTCCAAACTCTTCACCCTTTTGTGAATAACCCTGTGTATGTCAGTCAAAAAGATTGAGTAAAGGACAAGTCAATAGCCTGATATTTAAAAAAGATATAACATTTTTTGGGTTTGTATGACTATTTTTTCTAACATTAGCAAATAAGTCAACTGTGTTACTGTCATGTTACTCAGGTTTTCAAGGAGTTGTCTACATTTGGATAAAACTCACTGCTTTGGCTTGCAGTTCTTACTAGGACTGCTGGATTATGTGCTCAGTGTTTTATAACCATGTTTTATATGTTAGTTAAGAGTCCAGGCATTGCTAGACTCCTTTCTCCCACCCCAGATATATGAATTCTTTGCATTTGCTAAGAGTGAACGGAACTATGGCATTAATGCCCATGTTTTCAGAACAATAGAATACAGAGTTCATTTAGCCCAAAGATCTGGTTATGTCCTACCTGTTGTTTCCAGGATCATCTGAGATCCGTAGTCCAGTTCTGCAGAAATAGCCTGTATTGGGTGATATGCAACCTATATGTGTGGAAACCTAACTTTTTTTTAAGTTAATAGTGTTCCTCAGTGGTATATCATGATTGTCAAAGTGTGATAGCAGGTTTCATAGCAGACCAGAGCAATGGGGTATGTGGCACAATATGAGATGCCCTTGTATGTTGCTGTATATAACAGTTTCAGGAATTTATGCACTTCACATATTGGGTAAAAAAATCTCTTTAAGTAACGCTGTTATTCTATCCTGTAGAAAACAAAACAGCACTGAGCCTTAGCTCTAATATATAGTACATTCAAAATAATTAGTTACTCTAGCTGTTAGTCACAACATATTAATGAGACCTAGAGGCATATGACTGAAGCTGTGTGACCGTGTGACATTATGATATGGAGCTGCGACAGCATGGTGTCACTGTATTTGAATATGGTATGTCTTGTAATGCAGTAAATTGTCTATATGTAAGGCTAACGTTGTAACACAGTAATAATGTTTATGTATTTCCTTACGTCCTCATTTCTATTAAAAAATGTAGGTTGTCTCAAATTTTATCTAAATATAATAAATTCTAATAATGGTGCAAATAATTTGGGGAAAGAGCTACAGTATATGAGCTGCATGTTATATGTTGTCCTGTCATCTCTGTTTGCTAATTCTCCGTTCCAGCACACTGCAGAGCACATGCCTGCAATAATATTAAATATTTGTAAATATAGGTTACTTTGTGCTGCAACTGCTTACCAGTGTTTATTAATCCAATATATCCCATGTTGCATTGTGTCGTCGTTACTACTTTTTCTTTCTATAGAAATTTTTATCTGTTTCCTTTTTCTTTCCCTGTTTTGTAGTGTCAACTGGAAAAGAGAGAAGAAGTTGTAAGTATTTTTTTTTCTGAGCTACAGTTATAGAGGTCCTCTTCAGCTTATGTCATAATCCTTGATAACTGTCTTCAACACTCCTCCTAACTCTTTGCCATTCTCATCTTTTAGGGAGATGAACCTGATCCTGGATGTCAAGGTGGACCAGGTAACCAAGGTTTGCCTGGCCTAAAAGGAGAAGAGGTAATAAGATTGGTTCCTCCTGTAAGTGTCATGCTTGTCTAGTAATTTATCAATGTCATTTGTTCCTTTATCTTTTCAGGGGCCTCCAGGACCAAGAGGATTTCCTGGCTCACCTGGACCAATTGTAAGTACCTCTTTCCTCCCCAATTTTATTGATAGTAAACACAATGGCAAATATTAATTCTAAATAAGGTCTTTTACCTACCCATAATGAACAATGCTGACTTAGAGCAAAACTCCAGGATTTTTTTTATTAACCCTTGCAGTGGGGCTACCCCTGCACTGCAGGAGTTAACTGCTCGTTTGTGTCCAGGTTAAAAAAAAAAAAGTTTACTCACCCGAACTGCCGAGCCAGCTTCTTCTTAGACCGGTTCCTGGAATGTCTCTTGTACTCCTCTGCAGAGGTCTAAAGTCCAGTAAATCACCATTTCTGTACACTGTGCATAGATGTGAGGACGCTGTGAAACATTCCAATCTGCTGTGAGGGGAGGGACAGGCTGCAGGGAGCACGGTGACAGCAGGCTGGCTCGAAACCTCGGGTGAGTAAATCTGTTTTTTTAGCAACTAGACACAAATGAGCACTTAACCCTTGCAGTGCAGGGGTAGCTTCACTGCAAGGGTTAATTTAAAAAAATCCTGAAGTTCTTCTTAAAAAAAACATTCTGTCAAGTAAAAGTAATATTTGCACAATATTACCTGTTATGCTCAGTTAGTACTGGTTCAGTGAACTAGCACAGTGAGTTAACTTTCAGACTCTTCCTTGACATGAAAACCTTTTAGCAAAGCACCAACAATTTGTAGCTTTTAGAGGACTGGATATAGTGGGTAATACGATTACGTGCTTAATAGATCATGGATCTTATGGTGCTGTATGGCTAGAACATAATAATTGTCATTTGCTTTTCAGAAAAAAAGCTGCTTTTTACATAAGTAACTTCTGCATCTGAAATCTTGAAAAGAAAATCTCAAATTCTGTTGATTTTTAAAAATAAAATAAAAATAACGTGTATAGAGGGGTTTTTATACAAAAAGTTTAGTCTTTTGTGTCGAAAATGTAACAACAATTTAAAATGTGTTCTAACAATATTAATAATGTTGTTAATGCTGCTTTCTCCAGAGGGTCAAGTTGTCTAACTCTCTTGGATTCAGGGTGCTCTTGTTCCTCATCCTACTGGCATTGGGTCTTTGATTGTGACACCCCTATTTTTTCCCTCAGGGGCCCTCAGGTTTTCCAGGCTCTCCTGGCTCCCCCGGATTACCTGTAAGAATTTAACCCTCCTCCCAGCTGCTCGCTTTAATGATCCCCTTACCCTCAACCCCATGTGTCACATAACTTCACCAGCGCTGTGTCAAAAGCCTACCTCTTGTGCCACACCTGATTTCACCCCTTGTGTGCCCCAAGTCTTATCACTTGTGAGAAACCCTCCACTTATGTGTATCTAGATTCCCACCTTCTGTTTCTAAAATCTTTCTAAAGCTGACCCAATGATTCTAACTTTTCAAACATATTACCTTTTCACATTACTTTTAATTAGATGTGCATAAACCTGAGCAGACATGGCAAATAAATGTCAGTCTTTGGTTTTCCATGTCGGGAGCCTGGTGCTGTTTGTTCTTGGCACAAAGTTTTCAGTGCTGAAAGTGAGTCTAAATTAAGGCATGTTAAAAAATCACCTTGACCTGGAACATACTCCTAATCCTTAAAAGGTGACACCTAAAAGGTTTGTTTGTCAAAGATTTGGGGGAAGTAAGCATAGACATCTAAAGGGTGGATAACTTCAGCTAGCAGGCTGCAGAGAGGCACTCAGGGTCTGTACAGCATAGGGAACACTAAGGGAAAGTAGTTTTTCAAAGGGCCCAAGCTCTTGAATGCAGCCAGGACAGTAGGTGTAATATAATCCTCATATTAACCTTTGCCATATCTTTAAAGTGATAGAAATCTTAAAGTGACCCCCAAACTAAGGAGTTAAACCTTAAAAATGCATTCAAGTACCTTAACTATTAACAAAAATTTATTTTATTGTGTACCACTCAGCTGTAGATCTTCAAATCATCTCTGAATTGGTGCTGACATTGTCCCTCCTTCTGGAGGGTGGCTACTTTTGTTCCCCATGGTCCTTGTGTGTGTTGTAAAGTAGCCACCGCTCCAAGCACTCTTCCGTGATAGACTACAATCTCAATACACATGAGTGAACTAACTGTAGATTGCATTCTATCATGGGAGCGAGATTGGAACAGTGGCTATGTCACAACCTACACAGGGACCATGGGGAACAAAAGAAAGCTTTATGGAGTTCTAATATAACGTAATCATAACGCCCACACTAAACTTAACTGGAACACGTAACCTTACCTTTTAAATTAACACTTCATACTTAACCTACGACTAACAGGTAACAAACCCCAAAAAGCTAACCCTCAACAAAAACTATAAAATCTAACTAGCAGCATAAACCCAAACTGTAACCACTAATCCCTAACCTAATCCCTTATACAAGATTAACATCTAAACCACTTTACTTTATTTGGTACTTACACTATCAGCACTGAAGCATGACACTCCTACACCAACATCTCACAGCACCAAGATCTCGGCACCAAAAACTACTTATTCAGTATATTGTACAAGCAAAAGACCAAACAATAGAAAAAAAATCTTATACTAGAAAAAGCTGTAAATCAATAGAGTACCTTTTTCAAAGTTTTCTGTACTCTAAGTGTAGCATTCTAGATTAATATTAAACAATTTATTTAAGTTAAACTTGGATGGATATTTATAAAGTAGAGAATGTGACTTTCACCACATATTCACTGACAGTGACAGTTTAAACATGTGCACAAGGAAGATTCACCTGCAGTGTTTAGTGAATGTCAGATTAACTGCTTTGTACATATGCCTCTTGGTATTGCAAAACATCCACTCTGATTGAAAAGTTGACCCCGGCCTCTTAACAAAAACACCCATAGTGCAATAAGGCTTGCAAGTAAAATTGAAAACCTTGCTTTTCTGTTCTTTACATTACCTTGATGGACTATGCCCATCTATTAAAATATAACATTTCTCATAAGAAAGCCATGATATTGGTATGGATGCAATGTCTGGTTTCTTCTAAAGGACACTGCAGGAGAAATTTGGCATTGTATGCAAAGAATAAAATGGCTGATGTTTGGGGAAGGTAGGGCTTTTTAATTTTGCTACTTGGGATTATTGAAGTGTATCTTCAGCCCAAAAACATTTTTAGTTGTAGGTAGCATTAAAAAGGTGTAGAGCCTTTGTCAGTTTTTACAGCTCTCTGTGGTCCCATTGGGGACATTTCCCCTCACTCTCCGTCCCTTTGATTTTATCTCACTCTGACAGGAAGTGAGAGAAGCTCTCCAAGAGAGACTGGCCTTCCCAGTAAGGTCTCATACAGCAATAAAAACATCCAAAAGGTTCTAAGCCTCACCTACTATATCTAAAATTTTAAAAAAGAAAAAGTTTGGGCTGTAGTAACACTTTATTCAGTGAAAGAACGTGGCAGCAAGGCATAGCAGTATTTAGATTCTGCACAAAAACAAGATCAGGGCTGTCCACAGCATTACTTTAAGGCTTCATTCATACCTAAGCGATACCTATTAAGCATGTCCTACGCATATTTTTTTGTAAGGTTTTTGTGTGCATAAGATGTGCATATAGTAAGTCGTGCGTTTTTGTGAACAGATTGTGACACATTGATGTGCATGGGCAAAACGCGCGTTAACATGCGCAAAAATAAGTGCATTGCACATTGTCAAGAGCGACTAGCAACAATACGCTTAGGTGTGACTGAATCCTTACTCTGAGTTAAAAGTGCTCATGTAGGATGACGTTTACTTAGACATGAAGGTAATTTTATTATGTTAAGAGGTCATCAGTGTCAAAGAGTGAAGAAAATAATAAATCTGATGTGCAGATATACTGTATATTGACAAAATTCAGAATTCCACAGGAAGTCTGTAACATGTCAAAGCTCTATGCACAACATGCCCAACAGCTGGAAGAAAACAATAAAACTCTAAAGAAACAATAGTATGTTAGTCATTTTATAACCTACCATTGCCTTGGTATCTAACATTTTAAGAACTATTGTAACTAAGCAATCTATTTAATTCCACATTGGGGCTGTTATTCTAGACTTACACTATTGTGTCATGTGTTGTATCACTCCCATAATCTAAGTGAACCATTCTGTCCTTATGTCTGCTATGTGAGCCCAGTGTCTTCTTGTCCTAGTCACACATTATTCACATACTCTCCAGTCTAACCTAGCTGTGTTTTGTATATGTTTTGGTGAGCGGGTCCCATCTACCCTGCCCGCTTTGGTGTTACTTTCTCTGTACTGTAGGGGTCTGTATCAAGCTAACTTGTTTTGCATATGGCTGTGGCTGCTAGCATTCCTAAAATCTTAGAATTGAATACTGTACTGAAAATATAATAGAGTTGCAAAGATTTGGGAGTTGGTGAGATCAGCACATGTTCTGTACTGATCCGCGTAGTGGAGTATAAGCAAGAAACAAATTTGTTATTAGTAGTAACCTAAGAAAATTCTTACATTACTATGTATTCATATCGTATCAATCATGAGAGGATTTAATTTAAACAATAAAAGTTGTAAATGAGCAAAAGTAGCTGCAGCCTGATACACATCCCTCCATCCCCCTGTCACTATAATATGTGGCATTCACAACTATGCTTGTTTTATTTAATTCACTTGTGTAACTGTCTGATAACTGGGGTTATGTCTAATATCTTACCTCTATAACCCACAGTTAGCTTAGATTCTGTTGTAGTATTTGGCATCTACAAATAATCAACAGGATTCTGGATCAGTGACAAAATCAGCTACCATCTAAAGCAACAGTCTACGCAATGCATTAACATTTAAAATGTCTAAAGGTTAAACTTGACATATTGGAGAAATTTTTGATCCACGGCTTGATGTCAGTGCTTATAGTAAAAGGTATAATTTTAATGGTAAACAATACCCATCTTCCTATATGATTAAAAGGGTAAGTGTTGCTTCAGCTCCAAAAACTGGGAAATGGACCCCAGAGCAGCAGCGGTGTCTGGTGTTTGCTCCCAGTGTAAAATCATGACCCCTATCTAACTATTTACTTTTTTCCTAATAAAAGGGCATGCAGGGAGAACGAGGACCATCTGGACCACATGGAGAAAAAGGAGAAACGGTAAGACAATAAACGGCTCATCCCCATTCTGTCTGTGATCTTATTGAGCATGCACTTCCAGCACAATTTTGCTTTTATACAGCATTTGGCTGGCTGAAAATATTTTCGTAGCTTTGGTAGAAATCTTAACATGACACTAAACTCAGGAGTTAAATCTTAAAAATGCATTCAAACAATTAATTATTAATAAAAATTTAACTTATTTGTATATCACTCAGTTGTAGATCCCCAAATCATCTCTGAATTTGTGCTGACAATGTCCTTCATTTCGGAGGCTTCTTTTGTTCCCCATGCTACCTGTGTGTGTTGTAAACTAGTCACCACTCCAAGTTCACTTCTGCCATGGACTACAATCTTACGTTTAGTTTACTAATTTGTATTGAGATAGTAGTCTATCACGGGAGTGAGCTTGGAACTGTGGTTACTTTACAACACACACAGGGACCATGGGGAACAAACGTAGCCATGCTCCAGAAGGAAGGACAGTGTCAGCATCAATTCAGAGATGATTTGAGGATCTACAGCTCAGTGGTGCACAAATAAGATACTGTTTTGTTAATAGTTAAGGTATTTGAATGCATTTAACTCCTGAGTTTTGTGTCACTTTAAGCGAACTGAAGTCTGCTTTTATACAATAGCATGAAGTTCAACTATGTAAATTTGCTTGGAGTTCCTCATTAAAATGTGGTTGTATCTTCATGTAAGACCTTTACAACCGTCACTGTTGAATTTGTACTGTCATATGAAGCTCTAAGATGCTTCACTGTAGATGTGACTTGTATCTTTTTAAAAGTTAACATAATAGCATGCTCAGTATTGCTCTGTGCTGGTGCCCAGTGTCACATAATAGTGAATACTAGACAACATTGTATTGCTTATAATTGCGTTGCCTTCAAAATCTGGATCCTCCAGTCCCATTAAGGTGCCTTAAATCTTAAAGTTATTAAAGTGGAACTTCAAAACTTTTTTACGTTGAATGGGAGAGGGTTTGGATTTTCTGTTAGCTTTTTGCTGTGACCCCATTGACAAGATTTTTTATTTTCTCACTTTCTGCTCCACTAACAGCTAGGGCACGGTTGTGAGCTAAATGTATTGTTTCCACTCCAAAGGATGCATTCTTCATATCAACTGTAACTACTGTATAAAGAGTATCAGCCAGTGGTGCTGTCACTAGATCCTATGTAGTGGATTCTCTAAAGTATATAGAGAAAGCACTCCAAAGAGGGAAACAGCAAATTCAACTCTCTCCCTTGTCCTCCATAGAGGCAAAACAGGAAATTCAGCTCACAGAAATGTTTTTCGTGTCACAGGCACAGGAAATAAGGAAAACATTTAATTGTTGAGCATACTGCCAGCAGATTTAAAGGAGAACTATGAGGTGAGTGATTTACACTCATCCTCATAGTTAAAGCCAACGTGTGACATTGAAACTGTCACATGTCGACTCTATAGATAGTGAAGGGAGCGAACACATACCGTTGTTCGCTCCCTTCCTGATCATCTCCCTGCAGAGAGCGGTGACTATTAGTCACCGCTCTCCGCAGGGATTCCCCCCCCCCTCCCTGCTCCGATCCTTTAGCGCTGACTGGGGGAACGGACAGGGAGGGGGTGGGCACAGTTGGCTTTGTCTCTAGTTAGGCAGATCCCGCTGTCAATCAGCCAGCTGGGTCGATCTCAACAGTATTGTGGGGTTCCGTCCCGGGTGCGGGGCTCTCACTATATAGCGGGCACTAGCCCGTTATATACGGAGTTTCAGGTCACGAAAGGACGTTAGTGTATGTCCTCCCGTGACCCTAAAGAGAACTATGGGATAAAAAGATTACCCCCTAGTTCTCTTAACTTTTCCCTACATTATCCAAAACTCTAAAATCTTTACAAGTGTATACAGTACATTAATTTGATTGAAATAGCTGCATACCATGTTTAACATGAGTAGGGACAATTGTGATACAGTTTAAATATGAGTTTCATATATGAATTGATTGTGTATAACTTATTCACCCTATACAGGTCTGATCATTAATGATTATGTTTATGTAAAGTAACTTCTCCAAATCCCTAAATGTAATTGAAGTAGTAAAACACTTTTATTGTTTGCATTTCTGCAGGGGATGCAGTGCCTGAAAATCCCTTACTTGAGCACTACTTCAATATAATGCAAATATTGAAACTCTTCATTTTATAGCCATTTTATATTTTACTTGCAAAGTAATGCTTTAGTAGCGTCATTAATTCAGATTATAATGGAAAGAAGCCAGAAAATATTTACTAGAACCCATTTCAGTCTATGTGTAGCCTAAAGGAAAGCAACTAACATTTTAGATGTTTACTAAATGATTTTACTGCTATGTGATTCTGTCATTGATGACCTAATGACCCAAGTGGATTACATTTTGTTGGACAAAGTTTGCTTAATTTAAAAAGATTTCCAATGGTGTGCTAATGTTCCACTGTGCCATTAGAAAATAAAACCGAGGCATTTACAGCCTATTCTTATTCTAGTACAACTTCCTATAAATAATGATGGTGATATTAGATAAATATCACTTAGCAGTGACAGTGTCATCAGTAGAGGATATAAAGCATGGGGAGCCATGCAAAGAAATTCTCTCTCACAGCTTTCAGTTAGAATCAAGCACACTGAATAATGTATTCATGTTGAGTATCAAACACAGTGGACTGTAGACGGTTTGTCAAGCACAGCAGCAAGTGCAGGTATGACAGCTGTCAGGCAAATGGAGATTTCAGGCATTGTTAAAGGATGTCCATTCATGACAGGCATTTCAGTTCAGGTGGATGTCAACAGTTTTAACTGCATGTAAACCTTTTATATGTTTGCAAACTCTTCCTAGTTCTCTAATATTGAGCTCATAGAGATCTTCTTTACTCCTCAACCCAACTATGATGTTGGATGGCTTTTGGCCAAGTAACAGTGTAACAACTTTCCTTAATTGCATGTATTATTATTTATTATGCACAGATGCACACATCAGGAAAAATTGCATACATTTGAGTTGTATATAGTATGCCCAATGTCCACAACTGGACCAAAAGTGTTATGTTGCACGAAACATTTAGGGGATTATTCGCTATGGAGCCGAAGGATACAACCGTAGGTTCGGCTGATCCTTCGTCTCTCTTCAGTCGCTGGAGACCTTTGATTCAGTCGAACCGAAGGTCTTCTGTATGGGCTATTCACAATAGTTGTTATTCATTGGCCGGGACCTGCTAGGAGACTCTGGCAGGTGCCAGCAAATAGGAAACAGTTGGGCGGAGCTAGCTGTCACTGCATCTTTGTCGCCGTTTTTTCTACAATTATTTTTAATTTTCTCTTGTTTTCATTTTCTTTAAACTATTAAAACTTTTTTTTCCATTTTCCTACATTTTAAAACAATTTTCAACTTTTTTTTCACTTATTTTCTATTCTGCTCTGTACTTCAGAGTTACCGAGCAGAATAGCTGACTCATATGGCGCTCGGCGGCATTTGGCTATTCACTTACTGCCGTTCGGCCCCTATGAGAATAGGGGCGAACGGCAGTGAGTGAGCTTCCGAAGCTTCGGCTCAGCCTATCCAGGCCAGAAGTGAATAGATGAACAGCGTTTAGCTCACTTCACTTCGGCTGGGTTATTCACTCAGCTGCCTTCAGCAGCTTTGTGAATACCCCCCTTAATCTAATGTTTAAATTATGTCTATTCTAAGACACCAGTATAAAAGAAAGCTAACGTTGGAAAAAAAAAAAACTTTTGTGGTTTTAACCAATCATTTCTGAAGAAATTTGTTGTGTGGCAGTGCTTTGTTCTTTGTTCTCTTTTTTTTTAGTCTTTTACATTCAGATTGTCAAACATAGGTAATAATCCAGGAATGGAGAGTATGAAAAATCTCCGTGGAAAAAAGTTTAAATAATGCCCCACAATATAAATTTTGCATCTATTACAATATAGAGCCAGTGTCAATCATGATGACCTGCTGCCATGACAATTCACAACATGATGATCTTGCCGCGTCGTACTACCACCGCAAAATGACAGATCCCAAGTTGGCTTCATTTTGTAAACAAACCGGCCGGGGATCCTGGGTAGAGTCAATGACCAGATATGGTCAATGACGGCACCCAGAAACCCCAGCCAGTCATTTTTGTCATTTTGTTACCTCATACTGACACTGATACTTAACTTCTGATACTGATACTTAACTTCACATGCAGCTTGAAGGCATTCCCTAAGCATGTTATTTTTTTATCTATTATATCTTTGTTACATTTAAAAAAAAAAAAATACATAATGTAGCATTAGCCAATGCCATTACAGTTACAGAGTACAAAATAAAATAAAGAAAAACAACCTAACTGTAATAGTTACTCTAATTCCACTATTTTGGCCAATGTTAAAAAATAAGTATTAACCTCCCTGGCGGTATGATTATTCAGGATTTTAGGTACCAAAAGCGGTACATTGTTTTTCAAGCAAATAAAAAACATATTTAACATACTTCTCATGTATATCGTTACATAGCATAACAAAACATGACATAACATAACGTAAAAAGGAACACAGGAAAGGAATCAGGCAATGCCCAAGACATGGAAATAATGTAAAATCTGCGCTTATGGAAGGGGTGAAATATGAAAGCTGCTGCGCTATGATTTGTAGAGACTGTGGGCATTGTGAAAAAATGAGCGCTGCACACTCATTTTTTCACAATGCCCAAGACATGGACTTATACATAGACATATTTGGCTGTAGTCAAGCTCCATCAAGCATATTAGGTGAATAATTTGTGTATTTTCAGTAATGCCCTTTAAGCTACATTAAAAAACCCTCTCCATGTTGAACTGTATTTCTATTTATTTTTTTTTGCATTGGTCCATGTCCCTCATGGCAGTGCCCATGACCCAATACACTTTTTTTTAACAATGGCTTACAAATTAGCTTAAAAAATGGCCAGAAAATAATAGCAAGATATGACTCTTACAGACCTCAGTGGCGTTCGCCAAAATGTTTGAGGTTTGTGGACACCCTGATGGGTTCGCCGCTGATTATTACATATGTAGGCCTATTTAAGTAATATATTTTTATATTTTGTCATTGTGCTTTAGGGGCCTCCTGGTCAGCCTGGATATCCTGGTAATCTGGGTCCCCCAGGACTACCTGTAAGTAGTAGTATTGAATACATTTTTTAAGAGGCGAATTTACATATGTACATACAGTATGAGAACATATTCAATGATGTGCTTGATGGCTGAATGTATGTATTAATATTCAGGGTACTAAAGGTGAACGAGGGTACAGCGGACCAAGCGGTGAAAAAGGAGAGTCGGTGAGTTGAGACAAGGACTTTCTGGACAAAGTCTGATGTTTTGCTGTTAAAAAACTTGCAGTCTAAATATCAAACTGAAATATAAGATTCAACTATTACCCCTGTAATTCCCATTTAAACCCACAGTCGTATATATATCTTGATTTTCTATTGACATTTACTGTGCATGTTAAATGAAATTCAAGTTGCTGCATGTCAGAACACACAGTATGATATTGGTGCAGAAGTTGCGGTAGGCTTAATTCACTGAGCTAAATCACATGGGTTATTCGCCATAACGACAACTATGTTCAGCAATGAGAGCTGAGAGTAATGGTCACATGGCCGGAAATAACAATCATTATGGCAAATAGTAAATATGATATCTTAGTGAATTGAGCCTGTTGTAATCTATTTTTTACTGGATGGATTAAACAATATTTAGAGCACAAATGCAGTGCAGTTATTTGCAGATTAAATTAAATGGTGTAGTTGATAAAGGTTTACATTTCTGTTTATTTAAAGGGTCCTCCTGGTATTCCTGGAATTCCTGGACCTGCCGGCCCTTCTGTAAGTGTCTGTTTAGCAATATCGCATGGAGTTCACTGGTAATTAAGTGTCTCTTGATATTTTCACTTGCTTTTTCTAACTTAGGGCCCAAGAGGAGAAAGAGGAATGTCAGGGAGCTTTGGAGAAAAAGGTGATCAGGTGAGTCACTGCAAGAGAATGCTTTATTCTCAGATGAAGTACCCTAATTATGCCCTTAGGTTAGTAATGTTGTTTGTTTCTAACCTTAAAGCTTGTCATATATGGCAGTTTATTGATCTGCTGTGATAAAGGGTTAGAGTAGTGCTGCTTTTTGCGAAGACTGACAAGCCTATTGTGGCCTTATGTTTCACGACTTGTGTGTACAATTCTCTTGCTGAACAATTTATGTAAATAGATTATACAGTCAAATGATGTAAACTCTTACAGCTACCTGAAATATTTGTATTGCAGATTTTGTTTTCTGCTCACAACCACTTAATTACTTATGTAATCCCTACACTATTATTATAATATAGGAATTACTTTCTCACATAACAGTTGTTAAGGGAAAAGCAATACTTTTATTATACATGAAGTCATTTATAGTTTCCACTAAAGACCTTGAAAAAGAAGGCAAATATCCAAGGGCTGTGACCTACACTGGGTTTGGGGGTTCTTACTTCCTATCCAATGAGCCAGGTTGTCCCCCTGCCTTGTACCGCTCATTCAGCTGGCTGCTAAGTTGCCAGATTTGATAAGCAGGTCAAAGGCCAACTGAAAAAGCTTGCACAACAGGCTGCCAACTCTGCTTCAAATTGTAGGACAGCGGCTTAGCATTGACAGCCTGCAACAGGAAATGGTTTTACTGGCAGGATCTCCATGTCTAATAGACTTGATAAGCAGGCCAACTGAAAAAGCTTGCACAACAGGTTGCCAGCTCTGCTGCAAATTGTGAGACAGCGGCTTAGCATTGACAACCTGCAACAGGAAGAGCTTTTACTGGCAGGATCTCTAGGTAAGAAACTTTGCAACAGATTTACAAAAATGTATTTGCTTAAAGTGACACTAAACTCAGGGGTCAAAGCTTAAAAATGCATGCAAGTACCTTAGTCTTGATACCTATTAATAAAACTGTGTCTTATTTGTGTATCACTCAGATGTAGATCCTCAAATCATCTCTGAATTGGTGCTGACACTGTCCTTCCTTCTGGGGGTGGTTACTTTTGTTCCCCATGTCTGTGTTATAAAGGAGCCACCGCTCCAAGCTCACTCCCATGATGGACTACAATCTCAATACAAATTAGTAAACTAAATGTGAGATTGTAGTCCATCACAGGAGTGAGCTTGGAGCGGTGGCTACATTACAACAGACACAGGGACCATGTGGAACAAAAGTAACCACCCTCCAAAATGAAGGACAATGTCAGCACCAATTCAGAGATGATTTGAGGATCTACAGCCGAGTGATGCAAAAATAAGATACATTTTTGTTAATAGGGTACTTAAGATTTAACTCCTGAGTTTTGTGTCACTTAAAGACAATGTTATACAATTAGATATATGTTGCCAAACATACTGTTAAAAAGATTGTGGTTTAAGTTTTGACCTTAGGAAGAGATAATTTACATATACAGGGAATGGTTAGTAATTTTATTGAAGAGCACTCTCAACACCCTTTGATAAGCCTCTTCTAGTCTAAATAGGTCCAAAAGTCTGCACTTTGCAAAAAATTTAAATTAAAAATAAACATGTTTAATACACATATGAGGACTTAACATATCCTTAAATAACATCAGTAGTGACTTTACACATAATTCATATTTTAGATGTATTGATCCTGTATTAGCTCATAAACACTTTGCTTAGAAAGATACAAACATTTTCAATTCGAAAAGTTTTCTTTTTTTTTTAAAGTTAGGTTTGTAGCAACATCTGTCCATTTTCTTTTCATTTAAAGTCTCACTTATGGTTTTTTTTTTTTTTTTTTTTTAAAACAAAATGTGT